GTACATGATATTGTTGCTTTCAAATGTTTAAAGAGATTTAGAAATACTTTAAGTATGCAAGTGAACTCATCCGGTTCGCCGGTGAGGTATAAGTGGACCTATCTGGTACGCCGGTAGGGATTAAGTGGATTCATCCGGTACACATGTGAGGTATAAGTGGACATGTAGGGATTAAGTGGACCTATCTGAGATATCGATAGGGATTAAGTGGACCCATCAGGATGCTGATGGGGTATATAGTTGACCTACTTGGGACGCCAGTAAGGTAATTTATGAAATCCTTTGAATTATGCACTGTCGTTAAAATGTTATATGCATTTCAATTATTCGGATTATACTTAATTATGCATTTTTGAAAGTGAAACCGTTAATGCATTTCTGTTAATAGATATCCTTTTTGAAATATTGATATCTTTCAACCATGATTGTTTTTAGGATTATGATGATCACTTACCGAGTAGCCAAACTCATCAAATTATGGTAAACATTTTTTTTTCAAGATAACTGCGGTTTCATTTTGAGTGCTCGTCAGGATCAACTCTGGCAGATATCGTAGTTGTGCTTAAACTTTCTTTTGTTAATTTGTAAGAATTCGCCACTATAAATTTGTCCTAACTAGAGATGTATATATGTTTTGACTGTCACATCTCAGGAATATCAGTATTGTAAATTTTTGGGGCGTGACAGGTTCCATGTTGTTTTCATTCTCTATTAAATGCGTGTATGGTCCCACGAATTTTAACAAATGATACATCTGACCGGCCGAAATCTAATGGTGGCTGATTGTGACCTTGTTGCCAATAATATGGGTATAGGATGGTAAAATAAAAGCAAAAAAAAAGAAGCTTATATTACGGGTGGCAATGGACCCTACTAGATCCAGTACCCAATGGGTATGAGGATGGGCCCAACTTTTTGACCGGACGGTTGGGTCTGGGTCCAAAATTAGACTCGAATGCTAGTCGAGTATGGATCCAGATCCAGCCGGACCCAACCCATACCTGGCCTGTTGGCACCAATGGCTTGATCATTGGCGAGGGAATCAACGAACGGTATTGACCTCCCTCCAAATATGCTTCTAAGAGACGAATGTAGGCATGCATTAGTGGTATATTTAAACGAAAACATCTGCTAGCATCCAAGGGTAGGCGGAGACGCAAGAGCCCCAGCGGTTGACGTTCACGGAATCTCCCTCCATTTCTTTCATGGTTTTTAGTTTTTAGTTTTTACCGTTATAAAGGGCATGCATTAAAGGATCGGTACATGACCGAGTTCACTTGAAAACAGATTATTTCCGGTGAAGTTTTTTCCCTTGAAAACATATTATTTGGTAGTAGCCATTATTATGATTTGGATTATTTATTAAATTTTGTTCTTTTACTTTATTGCATATTTATGGGAAAGTGGAAGTAAAAATTGTAATATTTGGAATTATGTACATTTTCTATGTTTTTTTGGGTAATTTACTTTTTCTATGTTAATTATATGAGACTTCGCATTCTTTTTATTGTAGTATGCTTATTGATACTTTTTCCATGCTTTTTGGGGTAGTTTAATTTTTTGTGTGTTAATTATATGAAACTTCATATTCTTTTTATTGTAATGATATTTTTGTGGAGTTAATTTTACTTCACAAAAAATGCTCAATTACTCAAGGAAGAAGTTTATATAAGTGCGAGGCTCTAAACAATCAAAATAGGGCGTACCTAAAAAAAATCACTAGAAGAGGTTGTTTTTTATGCCCAAATATCCTCAATTTGATCATCTTGATCTCAAGATGCATGGACATTAGAAACTGGATTTCAAGTTTTTGGAAATAGCACATCTTGTAATGTATTTTTGGAATGTCAATACTCAAGATTTTCATGTTTTCATAGATCTGCTCAATCTACACTATTGTTTAAGTTTTAAACTCTATAATTAGATATAAAAATATATTTTAAGGCTATCGAAAAGATTTCCAGTACTCAAACTACATTTCTCGATACTATTTGAAGGTGCGCTTTGCTTTGATTGTTTAGAGGCTCTGGCCTTATACAAACCACACCCATTACACAAAGGAGCGAGCTACGAGCCAAAATGGTATATAGGGTTGTAGTAAACATTTGGTTTTCTCTAGTTTGAGTAAACAAAATTATCTCTCAATATTGGAGGGGCTCTTTATTGGGTTTCACTCAATTGCATCATTATTTGCTAAGTTGGAATGCATCCTTATTGTGATCCCTACATGATCAACTCAATAGCGCTCAAATATCATATTGCTAAGAAGCTTGGGCCCAAGAAATCTGCTTGTTATTTTGGACACCTTAGGCGACTTGTGAAGTCCAATATTGTTTTCCCTACAACAATTTGAGATATTATTTATAAGTTTTAAAAGAAAAAATATATAGTTTGATAAATTTCCAATGCATTTATGTTAATAGGATATTTGGAATGTAATAAAACTACATATCAAGATGCATCGGAAAGGAAAAAAATAAAAAATAAAGATTTCATCACAATTAAGAAACAATATTGAAGTTTAGAATGAATGTGCGAAGTTAATTAGTATAGCTTAAAATTAAATGTAGAGTAAAAATACAAAAATTGCAACTGAATTTTCAAAGACTCATATCTTCTAGGCAAACCAAACAGTGGCCTGACATATTCCATGTTTCTTATCATGTGTTATCTAAACAACATCACTCCTATCCTAGGGACATGCCAATTCCAGGAGAAGCCAATTCCTGGAGAATCCTATCCACGGTGCATGCTTCTCCAGGTACCCAAAGGAGCCCTAAGGGAACGACCTAAATGAAAGTCAAACCGGAAATTATTGCACATATCATCCACTTAAAAATTTAGGATTTCACATAATGCAACTTCACTCGTGTCCCATGTTTTTCCGAAAAAAATGCCATGTTAATCTTTTGGCCTTTCATGGGCATCAACCATTTCATATTCTTGCCAAACTTCTTTGCTTGAAAAAAAGAACCTCCTTTTGTATACAAAAAGTTCTTCAAAGACTTTGACTTTCCATAAATTCCACATACATAATCTCATTGGTAGCCGACCCAAGCTTCTCAATTCTACTATAGCTAAAACCTTAAAATTGAAGTTCAAGAAAAACTTTTAAAAACGTTTGTAGGTAAAATTGAATAGTGTTTCACCCCGTTATGGATAGTCGTTACGGTTTTACTTTAAAAATCGTCACAGATTTATGGGAGCCGTGGCAGTTTTCCCTGTTTTTTTGCGTGAAAAAATACCGCTGCGGTATTGCAATGTACATAGTAGGTCCATTGCAGTACCGCAATGTACATAGTAGGTCCATTGCGGTCTTTTAATCCATGCCATCCAAAAAAATCGGACACCGTTGATCCTATGAGGGAAAACATTGTTCATTTTCGCTCATAGACGTTGCGTAGTGGCTTCCCAAGTCCAAATTGCTTTAGATATGGTTCTCTCATGTCATTTTAAGTTGTTATTGGGTCAGGTTGGATATGGGTTGACCCCTTCAACTATGTCTTTGTTAGATCGACCAGGACCTGTATCGGGTCTAGGTAAAATATAAATAGATATTATAAGTGTTCAATAACACATAAATAATATAAATAACAATGCATATATACAATATATCATGTATAAATGTTAGGTGTTGCCGGGTTAGGTCGACCATGAACTGGACTCAACCCAGTAAGATCAAATAGTGACCCAAACCAAATCCATCGGCTCCAATTTTTGAGAGTCAGATCCAACTAGATCGGGCAATCACCCGAACCAATTGCCACTCCAATTTGGTAGAGAGATATTAATGGTTTTGAAGAGGGGGGAATGACTTGGGGTTTAAGAAATTTATGTGGTGACTGTTATTGTCAAAATAAAATAAAATATTTTTTGCTTAGCATTATTGCCATGGGCATTACTCGGCATTGATATCTTCCCTTTTCTTAAGAAAAATGATGAGAAACTCAAAAATATTCTACTCCCTCGAGTGTATAATGTCTACTTTCTCCACAGTAAAACTTCATTTAGGATTCATTTTAAGACTACAAATTTTTGGAATATAACCTCTTTAATACATTGATTAATGTCAATAAAAATGATTTTCTAATTACACCCTCTAAGCACTTAAAAAAATTATGTCGTAAGATCGAATATAAACCGTCCAATTTTGAAAGGGTAAGATTGAGTGTTAGATAATTCAAATTTCAATTTTTTTTTTTGAGGTCAATCATTCAGTGATTCTAAGTTAGTTATCAAAATTTCATATTGAAAAAATCCTCCAAAGTAATCAGACCAAAAGAGTAGAAGTAAATTGTACTCCCGAGGGAGCATAGTGTATGTGCTCATAAAACATTTCAAGGAGGGGAGGGTGGGAGAATGGTAGTAAGAGGCTTGGAAATTAAAATGGTGAGTGGTTAAAGAAAAGGAAAATGGTTTGGTGGGTTTCAGCCCTATCTAAATAAGTAAAACCTCACTTTATAGCTCAGCAAATATTGCACCTTAAGTATCAGAAATCCTTTATAGCAATCATCTCGGCTTAAACATTTTGGTTGTCCAAAAAAAAAAAAAAAGATTTCAAGCTGTAACAATAGTATATGTTGCAATAAATTATCTAGACCCTCTATTTTACCCTTAAAAAAAAGTGTTTAATGATATGCAAGAGCTGTATATTTTTTGAGAGAAAAAGTTTATATAAGGATGTAACCTTATAATGTAGAATTAGGGATGCACTTCAAAAATCCATCGTAAAAGGTAGTTTTAATGTTGAAAAATCCTTTGATTAATCATCTCGACATCGAGATGTATGACCATGAAAAATAAAAAGATTTTAAGTCTCAGAAATAGTGCATTTTACAACATATTATCTACACCGTCCATTTTCAAGATTTTCATATGTTTATATATCTACTTGATTTTAACCATTTTTGAAATTTAAAATATGAAAAAATTACAAAAAAGCCCAAGACTATACTATCGATGCAACTTACCCCTAACCTAATATTTTCTCTTAGTTTTTTCCCTACAACAAACTTTCTATGCAAATAACCTCCCCAACCCAAAAAAACAAAAAAAAAACCAACTAAACTACCCTTAACACTATTGCACACGCCTCTCTCTCCCTTCGACAGTAGAACCTGTGAGACACAGCGTTCCGGTAGTAGCAAAGGGTCTCCCTCCGGCAATAGAACCGTGAGACACAACGTTCTGGTAGTAGCAAAGGGCACTCCAGCAGTCGCACTCCAACAGTTGCAAAGGGGCTCCCGCAATAGAACTTGTCAGACGTAACATCTCGCAAAATTGATTTTTTTTGTTTAGGAAGGGCATTTTCGTCAGGACCTTTTTACTTTGGGGGATAGACAGTTTATTGTGAAAAAAAAAAAAGTGAGACAAAAGGTTTGTATGGGGTAAGTTGTATAGATAATGTATTTTGGGTATTTTTTATAATTTTCCCTTCAAATTTTATAATTAAATATAAAAATAGATTTTGAGATAAGAGAAAGATTTCTATGTTCCCCTACAACATAAAAGTTCTATCCTCTCCCTTATCCAATCGTCCATTTTTTAATGGAGGGCTAATATTGTCCCGATCACAATATCATGTCTCTATATTGTTTTATTTTAATTTTTTTCTATAAACTGTTTTGACACCAAATTTTGGACGTCCGTTCTTCTATTAAATTCGTACTAACGAAAAATATGAAAATAATATTTTCAATGAAATAAAATGACCAAAATACCCTTGAAAGATTCAAGGGGTATTTTGGTCATTATTTTTTATCGAAAAATTATTGTTAATATTTTTTATAGGTGCGCCCCAATGAAAAGATGACACATACCAACTTTTATATTCAAAAAATTTATATTAAAAAAACTAAAACTAAAATACTTTGAGACGTTGGATCTAAGATCAAACGGTGAGTGACTTTCTTATAAAAAATGGACGGTTGGATGGTAGGAGAGGATAGAACTTCTACGTTGTAGGAAAAAATAGAAAGCTTTTCCCTTGAGATAATCCTAAGAATATTTTACATCAAAATTATAAAGCAAGATAAAATTTGAAGGTGCACCTTACCTCTATCTGCTAAGGATGCATCCGAATGCCAAGTGGCACTTTTTTTTTTTGTTGAGTTTCAAATTTTATTTGCGGCAACGAAAATCGATTTTAGAGACTACATAGATATTTCTATCGCCGAAAGTGTTTTCCATTGAGGATTTGAAGTGAGATTTACATATATTTTCCCATAAAACCTAAGCCTTACATAAATTTAGTACCAAAAACAAAATACCAGTCTCACTATTAAGATTCCCCACCAACCCATTTGGACCATCAATCTTTCTATTAACTATCATAAACTATTATGTCAACAAGAGCGGCCGGCCTCCCCACCGTCTTCCTCCGCCCGGCCCCCAAATCATTCTCCGCCGCCCGCCCGCCCCAAAATCATGGGGCTTCGACTCCCGTTTCTTGCTCTTACCCTCTTTCTCTCTCTACACGCAGAGGCATCTACTGCCCCCGCTGCCTCCTGCCCCATGGACCTCGGCTATGTCGACTCCTTCCCTTGGGACTCCTCCGCCTGCGAAATCCCCCTCCCAAACCCTAACCCCGATCAACAGCAGCACTGCTGCCAGACCCTCCTCAGCCTCTTCGGCATCGCCCTCGCCCAACACCTTCGCGAGACCTCCCTTTTCAATCTCCCCGACCTTACCTCTGCCACCGCTTGCCTCATCGATTTCCAGTCGAAGCTTACTGCTCTCTCTCTCCCTGCATCTCTGGTGCCCTCTTGCTTCAACAACTCGGAGAGGTTCGTCATCCACCCTTGGGTGTGTGCTGGCATACAAACGAAGCAAGATTGGCTGCATACACTCGGCCCGTCGACGCCCCTTGACAACAGCTGCAGCGGCGACGTCTCAGATTTAACGACGTGCAATTCGTGCCTCAATTCAGGCTTCAACGTTTCTGCTCGACTGGTTACGATCGCCAAGAATGCCTCGCAGAGCACTGATTGCTTCTATTTTGCTGTTCTATATGCTGCTGGATTCGTGAATTCGAAGGGTCCTCAGGACCTAGACACTGCCTTCTGCATACTTGGCCTACCACTGGCGCCACCACGAAAATCTGGGTTTAGAAAACGCACTGCTCTTGTGTTTGCGTCCACTGGGGCTGGGGTTGCTATAATTTTCATGTCAGCAGTCTCCGCTATGTACATTTGGTGGAAGAGGCGCAGGGGCCAGGAGCACCCAGAGAAGGGCTTGATCTTGCAAGATGATGAGGATGCGAGTGGGAGCCGGGCGAGGGTGAGGCGGCCAAACACAGGTGCGGTCTGGTTCGATATTCAGGACCTGAAACGGGCAACCGATTACTTCTCGAAGCAAAACCTTATCGGAGTGGGCGGCTTTGGTGTTGTGTATAAGGGGACTCTTTCGGATGGGACTCTTGTGGCGGTGAAGGGGCTAACTTCGCCGGATTACTTGGAGAACAATGACTTTGCGAATGAGGTTGAGCTCATTGGCACCATCAGGCACCGGAACCTCCTCCCCCTTCGTGGCTGCTGCTTGGCCAAAGATGAGTCTGGTGAAGAGCAGAGGTTTCTTGTCTATGAATATATGTCTAATGGCAGCGTCGAGGACTGGGTGTTCGGCACAAAGAAGAAGGACGGGAAACAGCTGAGCTGGGCACAGAGGAGGGGGATCATAGTGGGTGTAGGCAAGGGCCTAGCGTACCTCCACAATGGGGTGGAGCCGGCTATCTTCCACCGTGATGTGAAGGCCACAAACATCCTGCTCGATGCTGACATGAACGCGAGGGTCGCAGACTTTGGGCTCGCAAAGCAGAACAGAGAGGGGCAGTCTCACCTGACTACCCGCGTGGCCGGAACGCATGGGTATCTGGCACCTGAATACGCCCTCTACGGGCAATTGACAGAGAAGAGCGATGTTTACAGCTTTGGGGTCGTGGTGCTGGAGATCATGAGCGGGAGGAGAGCCTTAGACACAAGCGGAGGCATGGATGTTCGCACTTTCCTGGTGAGCGACTGGGCGTGGGGGCTGATGAAGGCGGGTAAAATAGGGGAGGTGATAGAGGAAGGGATAAGGAAGGAGGGTCCGATGAGTGTGATGGAGAGGTTTGTGATGGTGGGGATACTGTGTTCTCATGTGATGGTGGCGTTCAGGCCCACCATGACTGAGGCTCTGAGGATGCTGGAAGGGAATGTAGAGGTGCCCGAGATACCGGACAGGCCGACACCTCTCAGCAGCCACGACTCCTCTTTTAATTTCGACGACACCTTCTCCGTGTCTTCGAGCATGATGGGTCCTTTGTTGCGGTCCAAAGACATGCTCAGATAGGTAAATGCCATATCTCTGTCTATGAAAGTCAGAAGCACAAGAATTGCAGTGTAAGAAATAAGAATTACAGTGTGTCAGAAAGAAAGAGAGCCTAATGTTAATGGTGTAGAGGACACAGAGTAGTGTTGAAAGATTCAGCCATTGGAATTGTGTAGGCCATTTTAAGGGTCTGAATTTGTGATGGCCATGGGAGGATGAAGTGAATTGTGTAGGCCATTTTAAGGGTCTGAATTTGTGATGTGTTTGGTGTGAAAGCCATCTTCTATAACTCCCACCTCTCACTAATTTGTAATTAGCAGGAGAGCTGCATAAATGGGTTTGAAGAATGAGAGAAAAGCAGCAGAGATACGATTGCAAGCAAAAATATTTGGATCAAGTGAGCCTCTGACCGATTGATCTAGATTTGCTGTATTAGAGTACTTTATTTTAATTTTTTTTTCAAATCATATAAATATGAAATTATTTAGTATATGCCATATAGAAAAGCAGCAGAGATGAGAGAAAAGCAGCAGAGATACGATTCCAAGCAAAAAAAATATTTAGATCAAGTGAGCTACTGACCGATTGATCTAGATCTGTTCTATTAGAGTATTTTATTTTAATTTTTTTTTTTCGAATAATATAAATATGAAATTTAGTATATGTCATATATTTTTTTGAAAAAATAAAATAACTAAAATGCCCCGGAAACTTTTAAGGATATTTTGATTATTTTATTTTATTCAAAATGTCTGCTTATATTTTTTCTGAGGTGGACTTCAAGTGAAGAATGGACTCCTTTTATTTAGTTTAGTTTTAAAATCCGACTCTATCATATGAAAATTTGATTAAGTTTTATATCTCTTTCAATAATTAAAATTTGAGATTGGCTACAGAGGGATCATTTATCTTTTGTATGTAGAGATCACAATCATTATCTCTCATTAGATGTCAAATTGGATGGCTTGGGCTGAGCGACGAAGTGTTAATTTTTTTTTTTTTTTTGTCTATTCAATGACCCTCTTACAACTATCTATTTTGAAATTTAATGGACAATAATAATTGTAACATCTATGTGCAAAAGATAAATAATGTTTTTGTAGACATTCCCTTAAATTTTAGATGATAGATTTACAAGGTATTTTTTTAAGTAATAACGAGTAGTTTTTATAATTTTAAATTGTAAGCTTTAGCACTCTAAAATAATAAAATGATAAAATTTTGTTGCTTTTAGGCAACTATGTTACTAATTAGAATGGGATCTATTATATGAGTTTTGTCCTCTCAAAATTTCAAAATATTGGTAAGTTATTATCGTCTTAAGGTTATTATCGCGATTACGATCGGGTTGGTCCATATTATGGTGATAAATTCATTTTATTTTGATAGGATAAAAAATATTATCAGCCCTTGATTTTCTCGTGACAAAATAAGATAAATACAAATTATTGGCAATAATTATCACGAACTAGTTATTGTTACCAGAATCATGCCCGGTCTAAATTTTTGAAAAATTTACATAAAGGGCCTCTTTTTTTTTTTTTTTGTGTATGTTCTATTTATTTTAGCTTTGTCAAATATTTTGAATATCGGACTGGCTTATTTTTATGGGATGGTTTGATATCCGAAAATCAAACCACCTCATATTTGATAAATTTTTGTACTGGTGTGATGTTGGAGGACTACATTAAAAATCATAACAAAGAGAGGTGTGATATCTCTAAAATCGAACCGTGCCAACACATGAATTATATGAGTGCATTGAAATAAAATTCTTTCTTTGAAAAAGAAAATAGGTAACCCATCTACTTGGCTAAAGAATGTATAGACAAGCAAGGAGAAAGCGACCTGCCAATATTTGAGTAATTTATGAGAGATGTAGGGGGTCATATTTGTTGGAGATAAGAGAGAAGATGATTCTAAAGCCAACAAGTCCTTGCCAAGATATACTTAACTTGAGCCCCATCAGAAAGAGGGTAGGGGCGAGCACGAGGGTGTCCAACCTTGGGGTTTCGGGTATAGCCAACTAGCTGGCAAGGAGTCTGAACCCTGGAACGTGCACAATAACCGATTCAATGAATCGTCTCAACAATTCAACAATTGGAGACATCGTGATCAAGAGGAAGAATATCGTATTTCATTTTAGTCTTAGGTTGCATCTTCATAATTCTATACTCCATTTTGAATCATATATTCATATTAACAATGAGTATATGCTCTATTTTATTTTGAAATGAATGTATAATTAACATATATTCAAATAGGTAACAACTTCTCATACTCACGTATTTTCATATCGAACCTTAATTTCTCATATTATTTCATGGTAGGCCCTCATACTGTTTTTCTTTCAAGCGGCTTAAAGAAATCTCTAAAGATTTCACCATACCCCCTCATATCTTATCTCCATGTTTTATTCACTTTGATCATAAAAATTAGGGTCCGGTTTCTATAGAGCATAGGCTCTAAACAATCAAATTAGAACCTACCTTCAAATATTGTCAAGAAATGTGGTTTCAATATTGGAAATCATTGTCATAGCTTTAAAATTTATTTTCATATTTATTTATAAAGTTTAAAGCTTCAAAAATTGTGTAGATCAATCGATCTATGAAAACCTGTAGATCTTGAAAACTGACGATAAAAGAATGCGTTACAAAATACACTATTTTTAAAATTTGAAATCCATTTTTTTCTAATGTCCATGTATATTGATGACGAGATGATCAATTTGAAGATATTTGGCCATCAAAACGACATCTTCTAGTAAAAATTTTGATGTAGACTCAAATTTGATTGTTTAGAACCTCAGCTCTATATAAATTTTTCTTTAAAAATTAACCTCAAAAAATCTTTTTATATCATTTCAACTCAAAAGCATTTTTAATTGGTGGAAAGGGAAAAAGGGGGTTAAAAAGTTTTTGGGTTGAAATGGTGTAAAAGATTTGTTGGAGCCAATTTTTGTGATCAAAAGTCAATTAAAGAGGGAAAAAAGAGATGATGAGTGGGGTGAAATTTTTAGGGTTTTTTTATATCACTTGAAAGAAACAGAAGAAGTGTCTACCATAAAATAATACACAAAAATTAAGATTCTATATGAAATTTTTCCAAAAAAATTTCTTGCAAGCACATTTATTGGCGCTATTTGGGAGGTGCGTTTTACTTTGATTGTTTAGAGGCTCGGCTCTATACAGACCGCACCCCTAATTAAATGCTCAAAATTTGGGAGCTTGCGGCGTTGCAAGAGCTACGTGGTTATCAAAGTACCCCTCACATTTCCATTTCTGAGTGATTAAAAGCATTGCAGAGTTCGCTCCCATGTTTTCTTTCCTCCTCCAAGCGGCAGGCTTCTGCATTATTCACAGGCAGTTGAAGGATTTTCGTCTCTCTCCTTTTTGCTAAGCGTAAGCTCTCTCTCTGTGTGATTAATTTGAAAATGTATCTTGACCTTCGTTATTTCTATCTTAACAAAAGGAATGAGGAACAATTGGTAGTAGGCTAATTATGCAATTGATTCAAGTGCTATCTGGTGATACCAATAGGAGGTGCTTTGGGTTAATATTGTAATCAATACTTCAACAGAATTAAAGCACATCATCAGTCCAAATGTCTGGGTGGTAAGTCACTGTTAGGAATTTTTTAGGTTCGTTATTATTATTGATCTTTAGATTCATCCCTCTCAACTGGTTGGATGTATTTCCCTTACCCATAATTATTATAATTCAATGGAAAGAATAGGGAAGTTCTTATAATTTTGCAAGGTGAATGCACATTGGTCTCTCGGGAATCGAATGCTACACAAAGGAGGAAGGGGAGAATGATTGGGACACCTCTTGGCTCTCATGTGGCTATGATGGTGAACTTAGAGTGGAGTTTACAGTTTGCAGTTAACACTTTAGTATATATGGAGTCCTGTAATTTTGTAATTAAGTAAATGAGCCTGAGATGGGAAAATGATAATTTGAAGTCCAATTCCGACTTGAGTTCCTATTTTTGTACTTGAAACAATTCTTGACTGAGAATGTGATGTTGGCATGCAGCTCCTTGGGCTTGGGCTTGATTGGTTAGTTTTTTATGATAGCAGCACTTTCATTAGTTTGATTCCTACTGCTGAACTACCAAAAACAAAAACACCCTTTCTTCTGACCATTTTCTAGATTTATGTTTAGCAATTATTCCTTGACATGCTATTTGGGAAGGACCAGTATTCAGCAAATCAAACCAAAAAATATCTCGACCCATATTTGAATGAGTACTTCCCATTTGATGATATAATTTCCAGGTACTGTAGAAATTCCTGGAGAGCACTTTGATTGTGATGATGCAATTAGAAGAGCCCTTTGCAACTTCAGTCTTGTCATATTCGGGTTTCCTTTGACCTTTGACCAGTTAATGTACTTACATTCCCAAGTTAGCAAAATAACAACTGTCCCGGACAAAAGGCAGGCATATGAAATCCAATGCTATGATATCTGGATATAAAGTACATCAATTTGAGAGAGCGTGAGATGCGCTAGAATTTATTGAAACAGAGAATGTGCTGGTTATTTTTGGAACCTTATAATGGTGTTTTTGTACTTTCCCTGTGTCACACAAGAAGTTAAACTTTTACCACATCTAAACCATTTTTGAACAGCTTATGCTGTCCTGGATAAATATCATCTAATACTCTAGTAAAACAGGATTGGTGACGTGATATGGGAAATTATCTCTCTGAAATGTCTTTGAACCTACTTTTACAAAGATCGTACATTGAGCATATGATGATGTTGATATAAATGAAATCTTCTTACTTATGTGTTAGATCAACCGATCAAGTGTACTCTGGTTGCTTGCAACCCTATCTATGTATAATTGATCTGCCAGAGCAAGGAATACACATTAGTTATCCACAGCAAAGGACCGCTTGATGTTTATCTCAAACATTTGAAAGAGGAGAGTAAATAATTCTCTGATTATGCGATATTTCTTCTCTGTGCAATAACTCTAGTGTCATGGTGGCTAACCTCCAAAAGCAGATTCTTTAGAAATAATTGATTTTTTTTAATTGATCCTCATTGGGTTTGATTTATATGATTGTTGCGTTTTGCATGTTTGATTCTTGAAAGCCACAAGTTCAGATACTCAAGTGACCGGCTTTTTGGCTTTGCATTGCTATTGGGATGATACACCAGCATTTCCTTTCATTGTTCTATGTGGATTGTCCTTGCTGCTCTTGCCATCAACAATAAAAGGAAATTTAAATTAATATATAAAGTCTTCCCACATCAAATCAGAATTGGTTCTTTGTTGTTTTGTCTGTTTCTGAATACAGAGCTTAAACATTTGAAACAATTTTATGCTCTTAAATATGGGAATATTAGCTGCCATCTTATTGGCGAGCTACATCTATTTTATTCTATGCAATTAAAGGCAAGTTATGCATGTAGTTCATAAAGTTCAAGAGCCATGCTTCTAATAGTAATTGGACCTATGGACATTGTCCTCACTCTTGGTTGTGATTTGAATTTTAGGTAGCCATTTTCACATGGCTTCTCTTCAGTTCAGCATGGAATTTCGAGTCTTCGGTGGCCAATTCTTTAGAAGAAACAATATTCTTCACAGTTGTGCTAAGCATTTGCGAATAAGTTGCAATCACTCAACAATGACAAAGAAGCAGAAAGTACCTACTCAATTCTTTAAGGAGAAGAAGATAATCCCTGATTCTGCTCCCCCAAGTGCTAAAGACCTTGATCGTCTGCACAAATTTGTTGATGAAAGGTCTATTACCCGCCGAATTTATCTTAAAATCATTGCTTTTAGGGGCATTTTATGGTGGTTGTAACAAATTTGCGGGCTCCCATTTTGTTATTTACTTTATAGGTATTCCAATTGTCAATTACAATCTTAAAATTGACTAATGAAGTGCATATGTACTAGCATTTATACAATTTTAGTGGTTATAGGGAATATATTATGTTGAGCTTACTCAATGTTCATTATGTATTAGGTTTGCAGTGAAAAGCTCATGGTGTTGACTGGAGCAGGAATAAGCACTGAGAGTGGGATTCCTGATTATAGAAGGTATGTTTAACTTCCTTAACTTGATTGCAGAAGATATTTAGAATTGCTTTTACTTCGAATTTTCATCTGCCAGTGGAAGAATGTGAAAAGAAAAGAGAATAAATAAGAAAGAACAAGAATAATTGTTTTGAGTCTTGTCTTAGTGTTCTTTTTTAAGATGTTTTGATGTTTCATGTGGATTGGAGTTCTTTTATTAACTTCAAAAGGTTTCCTGTTATTGTAACTTGTATATATTGGAACACTTGAAGTGTTAAGAAGCTAGTTTTCCATTCTCTGTTTCCCCTTGAAGAACTGCCCTTTCATGCTCCATCCCCTTATCTTCTTCAAAATTTTCACATAATAAAGGGAATCTGGAAACGGAACCTCAACATACAAATTCTTGAATCTCATCACTCTTGAATGCATTTAGATTTGAGGGGAATCAATGAATGGGACTGGTCAGTGAAAAGAATCTGCCTGCAACGTGAAGTCATTTACTATGCAAGCATTTGTGGAGGTACATATAGCGAATTTGTAACTGTTAGAGGATTCACCCATCAAAGAATTACTCTTAAAAAGGATGAACGCCTCTTAAAGATGAACATGGATCTTTGGTCTAGAGTATCTATTATCTACTGAGCATGACATCCTACATAACTAAAAGCTCCTTGGAATTCTTCATTTTTCTCATAGATTCTTTTGTCAATTTTCAACCTAAATATGATCTTTTTCTTCTTGTTCTTCTTTAAAAGCTCCTTGGAAATCTTCATTTTTTCTCATAGATTATTTTGTCAATTTTCAAACTAAATATGATCTTTTTCTTCTTGTTCTTCTTTTTTTTCTCCAGAAGATGAACTCTGGTTGGTCAAAACTCACTTTCCAATTCTAGCCTCTCTAAAGTGGCTTCCAGAGTCTTTGTAAAGACTGCTATGAGGCTTTTTAGTTACAATTCCGCTAATCGTTTGCACAATATTGTTGTTTGTCTATCCTTTCCTACCAAGTTGCATAAAACTAACCACGTGCATTAACAATAGCAAGCTCTCACAAAGTGAATGCCTCATTTTCCAGAAACACTCAACAGTTAATTTTTATTTATTGATTTAAGGTGGACTGTGAGGTACTGGTCATCATCTCTATTTTTTCTGATGGTTATCTGCAACTTCAGTAAACTAGTCTAGCTAACACTTTGTTGTATGTCATATTGATATCTATACATATCTATGAATGCTTGTACAATTTTTAGTTGAATTTAATTGTCTTCAGTATTGTATTTTCATATTGATGGAACTAATGAATCTTTTTGTGCTGAAATATGCACTTGTATGGCTGGTGAGAGGTTGTTTTGTGTGTGTTTGTGTGGTAGCTCAGGGTGCTCAAAAGTTGTACAGATTCGTCTTTCTTTCAGCTATTGATGCTACACTTTTGTTTGATGCTATCCTCTAGTTTATGTTCTATTACTTATAAATGGTCTTTATTCCTTCAGAATTATTTGTTCTCCGAAGTGAATGTTTGGCCTTGTTCTGTTTATGGTTTTAGCATGTTATAAGCTTTCTGTTGCACATTGTTCTCAATGTAAAAAATTCCTCTTTTATTGACAGTCCAAATGGAGCTTACAGTTCGGGATTCAAACCTATTACTCATCAGGTAAATATTCTTTTGTTTCACATTTAACTTACTCATTCATAACATCTACTAAGCTCAGTAGAATTTTTTGGTTGTCCTATTTATAAATATTTTCTTGCAAGATTTCCTGTTCAAGTTCTGGAAGCATTGCATGAAAAAGGAAATGAGAAGATATTATGGACTTGATTTTATATTATCAAATACATTGGTGTATATACTCGTAACGTGCGCATTAGGCTTGGATAGTACACTCATACACTGATGTTGCAATCATAATCTAGAACTGAAGCCTATATGTGTTACCTAGAATTTTCTTGTCTTAATAAGAGAGTTTGAGAGGAAAGGATGAAGTATTTCCTCCTTCCACTGGTATCAATACATTTTTGCAATCATTTGTTAATTTGCAAGTTTTGGGTTAAATACAAAAATCTCAACCATTGATCCCTAATTACCTTTGGTGCCATTAAATTAATATAGATGATTCCCAAAGATCACCAAATTTCATAATAATGTTTTTGAATAAGTTTGAACTTTTCTGAGGATGCATTGAGACATGAACTTTTGTTTCTGCTAACAACATTACATAGCAATGTTTCAAAAAGCCCTAGGCGGTGCCTAGGCAGCTAGGGGGGGTCCAGGCCGCCCAGCGCCTCGACGGGCGCTTAGAACTTGGGTGGCCCAGTAGAAAGAAAAATGTCTTTATAGTCTAACAATATAAGTATAACTGTAGAACACATAAGAGTTAAAAGGATTTAGGGCACATCATATGTTTCTTGAACTGGTTTATGCCACCTTTTGTATCCTTTTCACAAAACTTGCATTTTATGGAATTTTTATCCAAAGGATTCGGGTTGTAGCCATATTTTCAACCCGGATCACCACTTCGATAAGATCCCGAAGAAGACATCTCAAAATAATACAAGCAATAAAAAAAAAATCACTAATTTTGATTGCTCGATCTCCAAACTTCCACCTCTAAAATGTCTCTAAGGACTCAAAATCTTCTAAAAAAGCCTCTAATAGATTTATAAAACATCCAAAACTAAATCTAATATCAATGGGCGATGCTTAGATCAATTTCTCGTAACTTTGAGAAATCCTTCGATCCTATGGAAATAACCAAAAACTAGTTTTTTGGGGGTTTTTTCTCTCTAAAATAGGCTTTAATGAGTTTTTAGGTTTCAAATGAACCTAAAACCCACAATTTTACCCCTTTGGTATTAAAAAATGACAAAAAAATACACTGAATGAGGGGATTTCTGCCCATGAGCAGTCGCCTAGGGCTGGGCGCTAGGCGCCTTGGCCGGCGCTAGGGATATCCTACCTAATTTGTCCGCCTAGGCCTGAGCGATGTGCCCAGGCCTTCTGGATCGCCTAGGCGGCAGCGCAAGCGCTGGGCTGTCCGCTGTTTAAATCACCGATACATAATATGTCATGATGGTGGGTGGCATGATGGGCATGTGTAGTGTAGAGAAGCATCTTTTGCCTTTGTTGGTAGAAGATTATTTGTGTTTTTCAGAAACATCAGGAGGTTCTGTCGAATCCAGATTTTCTTGTGAGGAAACTTGTTGTTGACATGTTGATGATCTGAACTTTAGCCAATATTTTTCCTTTTCAATTTTTGGTGGATGCCCCATTATATTTCCTTTTCTTTCTATCCCTCTCTTCTTAAAACTATATTTTCTTTTAGCATCTCAATCTAGAATAAATTGATAAAGCGACTTTTAGTTCCTAGCACAACATAATAGCTTGCACCATAAAAACGAAGAAAAGGTTCATTTGTTCAGATTATTTTATCTGCACCTCTTCTTGGTCAAGTCATTTGCTCCTTTACTGATTTATACTCATTAATTATTATCTGCTTCAATTTATTATTTGACATTTTTATTTTAGGCATCACTAGGGATTTCTCACCACCTACATTCATTTTGCAGGAATTTGTTCGTTCTAGCCGAGCTCGGAGGCGTTATTGGGCTAGGAGTTATGCTGGATGGAGAAGGTTTACTGCAGCGCAACCTGGAGCTACTCATAAGGCACTTGCATCTCTTGAAATGCAAGGCCGAGTAAAGTTTATGGCTACACAAAATGTTGACAGGTGAAGTACGTCATCCATATTTCATCTTATAAGGAATTGCTACGAGTATCGATACGCTAAAGTTTATGTTTTCTAATAGTTTTTGTTTGTCAGGCTTCATCACCGTGCAGGCAGTGAGCCACTTGAATTACATGGCACTGTGTACTCTGTTGTATGTTTAGGATGTGGTTTTACATTCTGCCGCCATATATTTCAAGACCAAGTGAAGGTTCTTAATCCACAGGTGCAGTTCGAGTTTGTTATTGTCTGGTCCGTTCATGAGTGAAAATGATGAGTTTCGGTTTATGAGGTTATATCATTGTTAGGATAACTTGTAAATTCTTTGGCCTTTTGCATAACTCTGAAATCTAAAAGTGTTCAACGGTTCCTTTGTGAATGCTATTTCTGGTAAAACCATTTATTTTTATGTTTTTCAGGATTCCCTTATTTTCCTGGGTAAATAAAAGCTAAGAAATTTATATGGCGTCTACCATAGGATTTCCCTTTCTCCTTAAATGAACACCCATTTGTTTTGCATATCTTATGACCATCCTCCTTTAAGCAAGGGTGATTTTCGTTGGTAAATAAAAGCCAAGAAATTTATATGGCATCTACCATAGGATTTCCCTTTCTCCTTAAATGAACGCCCCTCTGTTTTGCATATCTTATGACCATCCTCCTTTAAGCAAGGGTGACACAAGTTATCATCCCAAATGTTAAGATTGAAAAATAATCTATGGCTCCGGATCATATTTTCTCCTTCTATGTTACCGTTGATTGCACCATGTAGTATAAAGTTACCTGGGCATAAATACAAAACTGCAATCCATGGACCTATCTGCTGGGTACTGCTGAGTAATCCACAGAGGTAGATAACCACCTGAGGACTACTGTTTCTCTTAATGCTTGTCTACACCTTGGAATTTTGTTCTTCTCTGATCTTAAAGGGGTTTTCTTTTCTTTCTTATGCTTCACTTGGTTTTTAATTATCTTTCATGTTCTCTCAGCAATTATTTATTAACGTGCAGAAGTATATTGATATCTATTTATTTATATATAATTCGATGAAGAGTTTGGTGAGTTAATGAGTATCAATTTTATCATAATTATTCACGATTAGATAGTTATTTACACAGTTTTCCTTGCCGTTGTAGTGGGCTTTAGCAGTTGAAAATCTAGACAATGGGAAGAACCCTGAATCAGACGAGAGCTTTGGCATGCAGCAGCGGCCTGATGGAGATATAGAGATTGATGAGAAATTTTGGGAGGAGAACTTCCATATCCCTAATTGTCTGAAATGTGATGGCTTGTTAAAACCTGATGTAAGATTCTTATATTTTTACAAATTGTACATTGCCATTATAATCCTAGTGAATTTACTACATTAGTACATAATTATACCGCTTGTGTTCAGACTTACATTTTACACTTTTTGACTGCATATCAAAATAACAATATGTATATTTTTTTGGATAATATTGACTTTGTATTATTCTAGTATAAGGATCCAGATTATTGCATTAAAAAGAACTACTGTACAAAAAAGGGCAAGTGCTATACAAAGAACTGCACCAAATGTCTTGTTTAGGACTGAGACCTGACTGCACGAAAACTATTGCTGGCTGCAACATTCATTGCCAATGCATCCGTAGTCATGTTTACCTCTCACCACACGTGCTTAATGGGGACTTGTAGGGTGCTGCAAATCTCAAGAATTTGGTTAAACTGTTGTTTAAAGTGCCAATCACAAGGGGAATCCGTTGAGTTCCACCCTATAACATTCATAGAATCTCTTTCCACTTTGAAGGAGGAACGCTATTGAACAATTTAAGGTCCTCCAACAAAACAGTAGCCTCACCCTTGGTTTAGTTTTTCCATGCCAAGGAATCTTGAGAAGGATGGTCAATGTTCAGACACACATGATCTAAAGATCCCAAATGTCTGCCAGACCACGGTTGTGGACAGGACCACCATTGAGATTAAGCTTGATCACCAAAAGACAGAGGTGACAACCAATTGTTTTTGGAAATCTCCTTAGGTCGAAGTATTTAGCACGAGGCCCCAGGTTTGTTATCTTACTGCTTATTATAATGCTCATAACTTTATCACAAAGAATGATTTGAGTCAAATTGTTGCTATACCTCTTTGATCTGACATTCACACCGACCTTGTGATCCTTAATTCCAAGATGCATAATTCTCTTAAGTTGAAATTCTTATTTTTGGCTACTCCTAATAAATTTCCATTGGCACTTACAGTTTAGATTTATGTGAAACTGGGTCACCTCCAAATAAGGGGATTCTCAAATGTGCAGTAAAGCTGAAGAATCCACCAGCCACCTCTTCATCCACTGCAAAATTGCTAAATCACATATGGTCCTTCATCCGTAATCTGTTCAAGACTTCTTGGATTATCCCTCCTGCGAGTGTTGAAAAACCTCATTTCATCACTGCTTTCCCCACCCTACCCTACCTTGGTCACCATATCGTGGCATCTCTCTATTTTTGCCATGAGCAACTTGAACTGGATCAAAGATTGGCTCGAAGCAGTGATAATCTTTAAGCTCGATTCTATAAGGAACTAAAGGATTTTGTAGACGTTGATATCAATTCTCAATTGCAGTACAAGATTTGATCTTCACCTTTCACTAAACTGTGTTCCTATAAGTGGATCCCACCAGATCTGGTTGCTGTCAAATTGGATTTCCAAGTACGGAAACCCAGGGCCTGCTGGATACAGAGGCACTTCTAGAGACCATTGGGGATGGATGGCTGATGCCACTGCCGAGTGACCGACTTGGGGCTGGCAAGGGTTGTTGATGTTGCACAAATGTAAACCCATGTGCATCTGGCTGGCTACAACTATTTGATGCCTCGTGGGACTTCTTTTTGGTTACTGTGAAGTATTAAGTAAGCATCATCTCATGGGCTTCAAGATCTTCTACTTGCCTCTGGAGGCTGGACCATATGTTCAATCAAAATCGCTTCCTTATGCTAGTCACTACATGTAACCATTAGACATGTTTGGCACTGGTGAAAGGATCCACAGGGGTGAAATTCACATCCTTGGACCTACTCTAAACCTGACCCTCAAGCGCTTGTAGCCCTCACTTTTTTGTACAAAGCCCAAAATTTGCCCCCCACTTATATGCAATTTGTACATCTTTGTACATTCAATACAGATGTTAATTCATTATAAAAATAAAATAAACTATGAAGATGATCTGACATAGTATTTTTCATCGTCCATTGATAGTCCTTGTTCTTGTTGGGGCATGCAACTAAATTACATTTTCAAACCTGCAAGGGAGCAGAATTTCGGTGTTTCCCATCATTTGCAGTGAGGTTATTTGGTCTATGGCTTGATTAGAAATTTGTGACCCCAAATGCCATTTCTGTTGATAAAAACTGCTCCATTGAAATTCCATCGTATCTGGTTTCTCATGAATGCACAAAGTATATAGGGCTGCATTACCAATTTATGCTATGTGAGGACAACTAGTCGAGAGACAAGTGAGTTTCTAGTGACAATGGGCCTACACCATGGGTCAACGTTGAGCCCATATTTATTTTGGTTATGGATGAGTTAACTAGGTATCTACAGGATGAAGTACCGTGGTGTATGTTGTTCGTAGATGACCTAGTTTTGATTGATGAGACTAGAGGAGACATCAACGCAAGGTTAGAACTTTGGAGGAATGCTTTAGAATCTAAAGGTTTTAAAATTAGCCAGACTAAGACAGAATATATGTAATGCAAGTTCAGTAATAACAGGAGTAGATGAGGAAGTAGTTAAGATTGATGGCCAAGAAATACCTCAAGGAGATTATTTTCGATATCTTGGGTCAGTAATACTGGAGAATGGAAAGTTTGAGGAAGTGGTCGCGCATAAAATTAGAGCTGAGTGGGCAAATTCGAGATGTGCATCCAGAGTTTTATGAATCTCCACATACCAATAAAACTAAAAGGTAAGTTTTATAGGACTACTGTAAGACCAGCCATGCATTATGGGATGGAATGTTGGGAGGTCAATAAACAACATATTCATAGGATGGGTATAGTTGAGATGAGGTGTTGAGATGGATGAGTGGCAAGACAAAAAATAATAAAATTTAAAATGAATACATACGAGAGAATTAGGGGTATATCCAATAGGTGATAAGATGAGGGAAAGTAGACTTAGGTGGGCTAGCTATGTGCAGCGTAAGCCCAATACAACATCGGTTAGGTGGGGCGATTTGGTTCAAGTGGAAGGCTCTAAAAGGGCAAGAGAAAGGCTCAAAAGGAAATGGATGGAAAAGCAGTGAGAAGAGATATGATGACTTATGGTCTGTTTGAGGGTATGGCTCTTGATAGAGCAGAATGTTGGAACGAGATTCATGTAGTTGACCCAAATAGTTAGGATGATGATGATGATGATGTCTTCTCTTCCAACCCTAAATTGGAAGATTTCTTTGCTGATGCTTCGACCTAATCTCAACATCATCTCTTGGTTGGCAAACCAATGTTATAAAACACGGATAAGTGGGGTGGATCACCCACCCATCAATTCCAATCCAGATTTACTGGTGGATTAGTGATCAGGATTTGGTGAATCGGTGATCTGCCAGAACAAAAAGGGGAAAAAACGATGGAGGAAAAAAAAATTTATATGATTTAAGATATTTAAATTAAAAAAATAGTTTTAAACATAGATTAAGTCTTTGCATAAGTAGATTACATATGTAGGTGCAACTTGTCTATTCAGTCCAGGAAGTGGACTAGTGACCAATAATTCTTGATCTTGATTAGCGATTCACTATCCGGATCGCCGATTAATGCAAGGGGGAGAGTGTTATTATATCAACATGGTCATTCTTGTCTTTTTCTATATTTGATAAATTGCATCAATAATGTAGGTCCATTTTTCATTCCCAGGGTTACTATGTATATCCAGTTAACAGGATGACATTCTTTCAATTCCATCCAGCACATGGCATTCCTTCCTCCCATAATGTGAATTTCTATGCATTTTCCATTGCATCAAGATATGGAAAAATGTTCTATTGCTTGAATTTTGTCTATCGTTATCTTTGTGAGTTGCTATGAAAAAATTAATGTGGAATGGTTCTACATGAGTAGTATTAATCCTAAAAGTTATGGAGTCATAACTTCTTCACTAGTTCGGCCAATCCTTGAGTGAATGCTGATTCAAAATATCTCTTAGAATTTCAAGCTCAATTAGTGTCAATGTTTACCATTGATAGAAGCCAAAGTTGTATGATTTTGCTCTTCTGTTGTGCAAGAACCAATGTTTAAAAAAATGGATCGGTGACCTGAATCATCCTCAACCATACCCATGCGAGATTGGTGGATCGGGGTGTCCGATCGGAGAATCAGCCAAATGGGCAAGTTTTGTCCCAAATGTTTTTCAAATACTCACTATAAATCTCTAAAAATAGTATTCTTTTAGTTTCTAAAAGAAATTAGGAGTGTTGCATTATGTACTTTCAGTACTTTGTAAAAATAGGTGAATACTGAGATGTTTTTATGTTGGATGTCTGTATAACTATTAATTATAATATAGTGGTAGAATATTGCATCAAAATAATTTGAAAATATTAGAAAAAACTTTCATATTATAAGACTAAAAAAAATAATTTCTCATATAAAGTGAAATTAGTATTGCATCAAAATAAAACACTTATTAATTCGCTTTACTCATCTAAGATTATCACAACCTAACTAACTATAATATTATATACTAAAATTAAGATTGTTGGTTTGTATTTTATGATTATTTTACTATACAAATAGAACAAATCTAAAATGTATTATAATATTATCTAATTTAAAAAATCTTATTTACAACTATATAAAAACAATTGTTGACCCCAAGTCATTCATGTCCTACATGAACATAATTGGTCAATTTCTAAATAAAATATTTATTAAAAATAATTTTTTCCTAGTGTACTAATTGAATATATTTGCTCATAATGTAATATATTTCCTACTAAAATCTGTAATTGCGAAACATTTAATAATGTCAAAATGCTTGCGCACAATAAAGTCAAAAGGACTTAACACGAACGTTGAGACAAAATAGAATTGTCCCACATCGAAGAGATGTGGGAGGAAAACGCCCAATAAAGGACTTAACATGAATGTTCTTGTGGACGCGTGCAAGGGGGAGCCAAGGGCCATGCATTTTCTTGGGGAACTAAACCAATGGGGGAACAGGACCATGTGACGCTAGAGTTTTTTGAAATTTAAAAATGAAATTGTCAGCGTGTTTTCAACATGTCTTGGAAATAAATCGGTGACGTGGTCGGTTTTTCAGACAAAAACTGTTAGGCCTGTTCAACGGGTGGAACATCCCAGATCCTGATATTTTACAAGATCAGGGACGGGCTGGGTGATTCCCGATCCGGATCAGGTCACCGATTTTTTAAACACTTGCAAGAACTATAGAAAGCAAAAGTTTGCACTATGTTGGAGATCTCGCTTTCCATATTGTGGTTGGAGCTGCCATATGTCTCATGAAGAACAAAATGTATTAAGTTGTTTGTTATTCTAAGTGCGAAGAAATTGAGAGACTGAACTATCTTGTACCCTCATCATGGCTATTGGTTCCCAAAAAAACGACCAAAAAAAAAGACAAAAGAAAAAAAAACCGGGAATTTTATCAAGTCTGCAAGCCTTTTCATTGCATCTTCTTGCTGAGAGCTCCCATGCTGGATAGCTTTCTAGGATGAGGTGGATTTTTACATTTTTTTGCACTGCAGTTTATTTTCAATGTAAACTGTATAAATACTGATGTGAACACCATTCTCATGGGATTAATAATTTTGTATTTTTTCCTTATTTGCTTCTCACCACCTTTGCATTATAACATAATTACTAAGTTCTCTGAGTAACTTAAATGCGTTGAATGTTACGAGTTTGTGTAGGACCAAATCCAGTTTTTCATCTTCTTTGTTTCTCTCCACCTTTGCACTATAAAGCAATTATCTAAAGTTCTCCCAATAACTTTTCTGTGTCAAATGGGCTGTAATCAATTTATAAGTGACGGTATTTGTATAAGTTCTATTCATCTTGAGTATATTTGATTCGATAGCTTTTTCATTTTTTTCCGCAATTATCTTGCTTTGGGTGTTTGTTGAATATGTGTTTGTGTGCGTGTATACGAATGTCTGTTTGTATGTTCTATGTTTGTACTTGTGTGTGTCTGATTGAATTTGTTACAGACACTTCCAATAGCACTAGGATATATATTTTATTTTCCTTATCTTCTATCAATTTGATTTTTTGAAGGTTGTATTTTTCGGCGATAATGTCCCAAAAGATAGAGCTGGGAAAGCAATGGAGGCTGCAAAAAGTTGTGATGCCTTACTTGTCGTGGGTTCATCTTTAATGACCATGTCTGCTTTTCGACTTGTAAGGTAATCATTTTAAGGCCCTATTTATCTGTGTACATTCATCTGTGCTCTTATTGATCATGTTATTCCTTTATAATGCACTCAGTGATGCATGGGCCCCTATCTGATTAGTTTTTTTCTTTTTTGCATGATTTAAGTCATGGTAATAGTTATGCATGGTTAGAATGTTTAAAAATTATAAATATATTCAACTTTATGAAATTAGAATTTTTTAGAAAGAGGATAGAAAGTACCAATATATCTCAGCTAATATTAGATATTGGAAATATAAATGGAGCTTTTTATTCTAAGATTGATGGTATTCCTTGTGGAAACCTGGGTTTTAATGGTATTGGTAGCTGTGCCACACCCCATTTGATGGCTGAGTGGGGAAAAGGACTGCTTGTGGATCATGTAGGTGTTTACTTAAACAGCCCTCGAGCCTATTATTCTCAATCTTAAATTTTGTACTTCATTGCTTTCGTACACCAACCTTAAGTGGCGTTTGGACATAAGTCTCCATTTACATAAAGAAAACATATTTTATTGCTTTCACATTTGAGAGTTTATGGCTTAAAAAGGTCATTTCCCTTCAAATTAGTTATCATCAATGTATAAGCATCCTCAGTATCCATTGAACTGTTCAGTTGAAATCATATCATTGGCTTAGTTGCCAGGATTCCGACATGGGTTGCTATCCATGCTCCTGACGTAAGATCATGGTCCGGCTGTGATCCTGTATTCTAGTCCAATGGAAATTAGTCAATGAGTCAATGCATCCATATTCCCTATACCTTTGAAGGAAAAGCAACAATATGTGCATGTCAATTAAAAAAAGGAAAGCAATAGATGCATATCCTTCCAAAACAAAAGCAATAAGTGCATGTCAACAAAAAAAGAGTTATGGGGCTACTCTCTAAGGACAAGCCTGTTTTTTTGCCGAGAGGTCCGGCCTGTGGGTCCTCTTGACGAACCACTGTAATCTTTTTCTTGTAATACAACAGTCATAAAAAAAAAAAAACTCTTAACTTAGGATCTAGTGAGCATGAAACTCTTATATGGCACCTGCTACCCTAGCCTCCCCTTTTCCTAGAGCCCGTACTTGAGAGTAATAATTTTTCAGATCCATGTTCCATAAATTTTTTTAAAGAGAAAGATATTGCTAAACTTGCATCAACCAAAAGAGGAAGTTCTAGAATTATCATAAAATTGCATGTACTATAGGGAACAGTGTGTCCAGCTTTTTTCACAAATGGTTATGGATTTTGACCTGTCATCTTTTTAAAATTTGTATATATTCAAGGGAGAAAATGAGTTCTCTCTTTTTTATTTGTGTGTGTGCATGTTGCATGTGTGTATTTCATCCCTCTTTATATGTTTCGCTCTATATAGTTACATAGCTCATTTTTTTTGAAAATAATTCAAATGGAAGGGGTATGTGAAGAAATGGGTAGGACTTTAATATGATTTAACTTATATAATATCCTGTATTGTCATTTAAATGTAAGATCAAATAAATGTCTTTATTATATTACTTTGAAGGATATATGTATGAGAAGACTCAAATAAATGAATGAGTTATTTGTCTCAAAACTTATTTGTGAGTACGGAAAATATACTTCTAATATATTAATTTTACATCTAAATTTATATAAAAATTGTGATTAGTCCTTGTTTTGAAAAGCTCTCCATTTTAATATATTTATTCTTCGGGCGCTCCCAAACTAGGGAACTCCTAGCAAGCAATGATCCTCCGCTCCTACTCCTGCCCGCTCTAAAATACAATCATGTTATGCTTGCAGATGAAGTTTGCTAAATGCAACAACCACATTATTTATAAGAAACAAACAATCCACTTCATATGTTATGTTCATATAAGCAATGCTAAATTTTGTGGTTCCTTGCATGGAGTCTTGGTTAGAATACCGTTCTCTTCTTAGAAAGTTGCCCAATCCGTATGTCATGCAAGATCATCTAGCTTACCTGTATTTGAAGATAATAATGCCATTACATGATTCCTAGTTTTGCTTGCAGCAAAGTGAAAGATGTGGCTACATGGACTTCAAGGCCATAAAATCAATATGTTTCCTCTTTTCTTTATTTATAAATCTAAATTCTAACTTAGTGCCACAATACACTACTGTAAATAAAAATTAAAACCCTAAATACAACCTAGGACCTTTCCTTTTACGGCCTAAATAATGTTACTATCCAATATCTTTTATGTAGTTTCTCATTGGAGATTACATAACTGAGTACTGTTATGAAGTCCTTAAAGTGCTACACCTTGATTTACATGGATTTTAGAATTGGCGATCCAACCTCATTTGTACACTGAGGATAGATATAGACAAATATGAAAATTTTAGATGTGGGACTAACCCCACAACTTACTAACATTAAGGCACCTACTACAAGAGTAAAACATGACAGTGTTTGAATAGGTAAGCATGAGAAAAGTCTTTAGAGTGAAGTTGGATTTTTATTTCACTAGTTATGGACAAAAGGAAAAAAGAAGAATTTGATTTCCCGAATTTGATCGGGAGAGATTGTTGAACTTGGATCAGTTGTCTTGATCCCGTGAAAATCATTTACTTCAATATACTATCCATGGGCATCATTTGCACCATAGTGAAGTCGATATTTGTTCTTGGAAGGAGAGATCAATGGCAGATACTCACTCATTTTTTTAAATATCACCTACTGTTTTTAATTCTGCCCCGTTAAACGTAGGTAGCAATATGGACAAATAAATTTGGCCCCACAAAGTGTTGGGTGGATTAGTAAAAAAAGGGAATGGCTGAATCTACCCTCATTCTAAATATAATAATCCCAAAAAAGCTGTTGATTCTATTCAAAGTGAAGGCTTGCTGATGATGTAATTCTTGAGTAGTTTCAATTTTGTCATGGAATAGTTAAACTGCTTTATGCTTGGCCACAAGTATGCCAACCACCTTAGGTTTAAGAGCATGCCTTTTTGAGCTGACTGGATCTTTGAACAAGCTCGTATGCCTCCATACAGATGCCATGAGTATGGCTTTTCAGATCTAATTCACAATTTATGTTTCCTCTTATCTGGTGGAGCCAATGCTTCCTTGGGCAGACAAATTGATAGAACTGCCAATTGCTAGACATAGCATCCCAGTGATCGGCTGGATGTAATTGGGTGAATAAGAATTATCACTGGGTGTTCAAGTGACCTTTAAGTCGATGCACTATTTTTCTCCGAAGTCCATTCTTTTTTCCTTTGGGAAAAATTAAATGGCCAAACTACCGTACAAAATCATTAACGTGGTCAATTCATCCCATTTACATTAGGTGTGTTACTCTGTCTCCTTAAAAAATATAAATAAAACTGGACGAAATTGTCCCCATGCAGATTTGGGTAGCCTGAAGAAACAAGGGAGTTTTGGTGAGCCCCACTTGAGTAAGCCAGGACAAATGATGAAAATACCCCTCGTTTTTTAGGGCTAGCACCATGGAACTTGGTATACAATTTAAAAAGTTTTCTGTGATGCTAACTTTGAAAGGCAGGCGTAGTTTCATCATTTGGTATTACCATGTTGCTAACCCTGAAAAACCAGTGGTATCCTTATCATTTGAGTCGGCCTACATAAGTGGGTTAAATTACCAAAATGTCCCTACTTGTTCAGGATTCTCATTACTATATATTTTAAGGGGGCACTTGAGTGAAATGAAACTTTTAAGAAACATTAGTCCTAATGTTAAATGGAATTAATTTGACCACCTTAATGATTTTGTAAGGTGGTTTGACAATTTAATTGATATTATCTCTCTCTCTCTCTCTATCTATCTCTTTTCCTTGAATGCTAACTTGGAATTTGGTGAGAATGGAACTATAGACGTGGGTCACCCACCACCCTGACCACTTCTGATTAGAGCCTGTTTTCCTATTGAGTCCATTTTGTAATAGTCCATGGATTATATGGCTACTTACATCTGGTTGTCCTTCATCATAATCAGAATTGAACCTCAGAATAGTTGCTGTTTTGAAAGTGCTAAATCAGATCTTTTTTAAGAAGATCAAGCAGTATGCATGTTTTGAAAGTACTAAATGAGATCTTTTTCAAGAAGATCAAGCAGATTAAATGCTGTTTGTTTTGGCATTCCCAAAGACTACTGACGGTCTTTTTACCACCTGAAAAAGGCCCCATCACCACTTTCTGTTTGCAAGACTGATCTTTGGGGTGGCGAATGTCAAGGACTTTGTCTGCTGGTCACCATTGAAACCTTTCTCTTCCGATCTGGTTGAAGAGCTCTACTTCTATTATTGTCAGAAATCTGTCTAATACTACACATGCCAAAATGCATTCATTCGTTGTGCTTTAGAATGCATGAGATAAACAAATGTTGTCATCATGGTAGTAAAGGTTTTGGCATCAAGTTTCATCTTCAATTTCTATACTGACCTTTTCTTATGTCAAATTTTATCATGCAGAGCTGCTTATGAGGTTAATGCAACTGTTGCAATAATTAATATTGGCGAAACCAGGGCTGATGAGCTTGTATCCTTAAAGATTAGTGCAAGAAGCGGTGAGGTAATATATAGCGTTTTGTTTCCTCTTTTATCGGTACAATTTTACTCCTTTGAGCAGCAACTCTGAACTACTACTTAACTGTGGATTTGGAGATGGCCTTAATTGTTCTCCCATATTATTTTGATAGATACTACCGAGGTTGCTTGGAATGGGATGTCTAAGCATACCTGCAAGCAAATGAAGCAGAACTTGGTCCCTTGCATCTCATGGTAGGATCAGAGGAGATTCAACACATTGATATATAAATTGTTGTATAGCACTATAGGCGAAAGAAATTCATACTAGTCCTAAAATGCTTCCCGGGCAAAGCTCTCCACAATTCTATTCGAAAAGTCATTTAGGATGTTGCCCTCTTGCATGCATTCATTGTCTGCTTGAAACAGTTGAGGTGAGAATCACTTGTGCTGTGAATATTTCTATACAAACATTGAACGAAAAGATTGTTTTTGTTATCAATGGTTTAAACAGCAAGTAACACTTACGGCAGGTCAACTCAACGCATTGCTCTTGGTTCTGAATGTAGGACACAAAAATTTCAGGAAAGAACCAAGTAAAAAGAAAAAATCAGAAGGAAAATTATCGAAAAATAAATATCTACGAAATGTTAAAGTTGATGTGTAGTTAAGGTTACTTACCCAAAAAAAAAAAGTGTAGATAAGGTTGCTTTAATATTTTTATCACGTAAAATTAATGAAATTATTGGTGTAAAATTCAAGTGTTTTATAGTTCTGCTGAAAATTCAAATGACTCCCATCAAATTTCAAGTTCCAACTTAATTTTAAAGAAGTTCAACATCAAACCAAATTTACAAAATGCATAACTAGAGATACATTATTTGTTAGAAACAAGGCCAGAAAAGAGGCACTCCACTTTTGAACTAGGCTTTAGCCAATATGAATGTTGTGTTGGTTCTTTATAATCTTAGATGTCGCCTGCCTTTGCTCTCTAGCGCTGCATTTAGGGTTTCTTTCATATTGTCATACACTGCCTTCAATTTCAACTTTGTTATCCCTTTTGTTGGTTTCTTGCTCTTTTGCCACATTCAATGAGTGGATCACATCTTTAAGCACCCTCTTGCTATTATGATTTGCTAGGAATTCCTCTGTAAGATCTATAAACATATATTTCAGAGTTATGGGGTTGTAATACTGTACTTCCCCTCACGACTGTCTCTTTCTCATATTTAAATGGTAATTTATGGAGCTAGTCCGCAGTCCATTTGTCGTTGGCATGTGGATTCATGAGACCATACTTTCACTTAACACCATGTAATAAATTTACAGCTTTAAGATTAGTTAGGGTATGGATTGAATGGCGTAGTAGGCTACTCCATTTGTCATTGAGATTATCTCCGGAGCTTTGTTGTAGTACTTGCAATTTACCTGGCAGGGTTCGTTGCTCCATTTTGTTGTGAAATGAATTTAGAGTTAACATATATTCAAATAGGTAACAACCTAACATATTCACAAAATTTTAAAAAAACTAGTTGGATAAGAATGAAATACGAAAATACATACAAAAAAAAATTTGATAGTTTAAAAGTCTTTAGTAAAATATAAAAATTAATCATGAATCTTGTAAATTTTAAACTTCACACTATATAATATAGATTTATTAAAAAATTACTGACAGATATAAAGTTGAATTTCTACTTTATGGTAAAGATAAAAATTATTCTCTAACATTCTAAAATTTATAAAAATAGTAAAAATTCATTATGATTAATTATGGATACATAATAATTCATAAAATTATATTTAAATTTTTGAAATGATGATATATAAATCTAAAAAAAACAAAGTTAAAATATTTTTAAACTAAAGTTTATTAATTTAAAATATAAAATTTTAATAATTTTTTTTTAAGATGCGTCCAAACTCCTAAATAAAAATTATGGATTACGTGTGGTGCACCTAAAAATGAAATAAAAAAATACATAAAACAAATCTTTTCATAATGTAGAGGATAATATTATTTTGTTGGACAACATGTGCAATGCCATGGTATGATGATCTTACTATATCCAGGTGACTGTAAGCATTTAAAAATGCCATGATATGTATCGTTCATGCAATAAGATTGCTCAAATCATATTTGCCATAAATATAGAGAATCACGACTTTGTCACTCCAAAAAGTTTCTTCATATTTAAAACAAAAAAAGAAAAAAGAAAGAAAGAAAAGCTCTAACACGGTAAGAAATTAATTCGTTTTAATACTCTCGATGTTACCTTTCGGAACTCTTATGGTTTTGATAATATTTAATACGGATTTGTAAGAAAAAAATATTTTTCAAAAAATTTACTTGCAATATAGTTTTCATCATTTTTCATAAAATTTACTTGTGTATCTAATAAGATTTTAAATGTGGAGTGAGAGACACCAAATTGAGAGAGAAAAACCAAGTTGAAAGACTAGGGAGAGAGACCACATAGAAGGAGAAAGAAAAGCGAGGGTAACTAACAAAAAGAGAGAAATACTAATTGTAAATGTAGAGAGAGAGAGGCCGTAAAAATAGAACTTGCATCTATATCTATTTAGGGATCATCTCAAAAAAATTTGTATGCATTAGGGTTTTAAATATAGAGAGACACTTGGGTAGGTGGCATGTATATCAAATGTGGTTTTAAATATGGAGAGAGAGTGAGAGCACGTAAAAAGAGGTGTTTACATACATGTCTCATAAATAAATAAAAAAAGATAATAAAATTGAAAAAATGATACTTATCAATAAAATAAGCAAGGTTGGGTGATGGGAGATGCTCTCTCTCTAATGTTTTCATCTCTATTGATAATTTCGTGTCATATATTTATTAAAAAAAGAAAAAAGCATACTAATTTCTCTTGCTAACCTATTTTTGTGGTTCATATATTAGGGCATATATTAGAGTATCAAATATCTAGTGGATTTTTTTCTTAGAGAAAAAGTTAGGAAGTTCCAAAAGAAATTACTCTCTTTCTCAAATTTAGTTTTCTAAAAAACTCTTGCGTTCTTCAAAAATTGAGAAAAGATATGTAAGAGACAAAAGCACAAGTTACGTCATATATAATTTTTTAAAAATAGTAGACATCTAAAGTTCTTAAAAATCTGATCGAAAGCTCTTGGAGTTTGAGATTTCTCTAGCTTTTTATTAGCTTAGATAATGATCAATTTTATGGATTACTATCAACTATGATACCATCTCTCTCTACAATGTCGAGATACAAAATATGGTATTTACTACTTTAAGTGTGTACTCTATTTTTCTCTTTCCTTAAATATGATAATGTGTCTTGCAATCTCTGTAGAATTAGGGCCCTTTCTTATTTTTGTGATATGCGTCCGTCCCTTAACTCCTCTTAATTTACCTAATAGAAAAATTTGTCTTGTGAAGTAATAATAATATTTACTCTCTTCTCTCTCTCAAATTTGATTTTCGAAAAAAATCTCATGTTCCTAAATATTTGAGAAACGATATGTAAGAGACAAAAACACAATTTACATTATACATAATTTTTTTTTAAAATAGAATAATCTAAAGTTCCAAAAAATCTGACTGAATGCTCTTAGAATTTGAAATTTCTTTTGCTTTTTATTAAAATAGATAATGATCAATTTTATAGGTTACTACCAAATGTAATACCATCTCTCTCTCTATAATGTCGAGATACAAAATATGGTATGTACTACTTTAAGTAATAAAAATAATAATAAGAAAGGGATTCTTACAAAAAAAATTAAATGTATTTAAGAAAAAATAAATGATAAAGATGAATACTTTTTTCATCTCGTCGTATCAATAGAATATTTTTTATATAGCTAAAAATTTATAATAATAAATAAGAAAATCAGTCATAATCTATTTTTCAAGCATAGACTTTCTAATCTATTTTTCAGGTATAGAGCTTTTGCCAAAATTTCAATTTCACATTCAATTTATTGACAAAAAAAGATGAGTTATGAGAAAAAATTAAAAGCATAAGAAGTTAATGTAAGGGGTGCGGTTTGTATAGAGCCGAGGCTCTAAACAATTAAATTATAGCTCACCTTCAAATAGTGTCAAGAAATATGGTTTTCATACTGAAAATTTTTGTGATAGCTTTAAATATATTTGCGTCTTTAATTATAAAATTTAAAGCTTCAAAAATAGTGTATATCAAGCAGATCTATGAAAACTTGAAACTCTTGAAAATTGACCATCCAAAAATGTTAACAAGATACACTATTTTTAAAACTTGAAATCCATTTCTTTCTCATGTCTATGCATCTTGATGTCCAGATGATCAATTTGATGATCTTTGGGCATCAACTCTAATTTGATTGTTTACGTCCTAGGCTTTATACAAACTTTTCCCTAATGTAAAAAATAAGAACTTCTTTGAGATTCATTCTCAGCAAATTATATTATAATATGAATGATGTTAAAGTTATAAATAAGTAAATAAATATTAAATAAATGAACAAAATTTTTTACATACCTTCAAAGACTTTTAGAGATGTTTATAGTATTTAAGAAAAAATAAATAATAAAAGATGGATACTTTTTTCATCTTGTTGTATCAATAGAATATTTTTTATATATCTAAAAATTCATAATAATAAATGTAAAAATTAGTCATAATCTATTGTTCAAGCATAGAACTTTCTAAAAATTAGTCATAATATATTTTTCAGGCATAGAGCTTCCGCCAAAACTTTCAATTTCATATTCAATTTATTAACAAAGCAAGAAGATGAGTTATGGGAAAAATTAAAAGCATGAGAAGTTAATATAAAAAATAAGAACTTCTTTGAGATTCATTCTCAACCAATTATATTATAATATGTATGATGTTAAAGTTATAAAAAAAATATTAAATAAATAAACCAAAAGAATTGACATATTTTTAAAAGAAAATTACGTAAATATCCATTTTATTTTCTTTTATTACAAAAATACCTAAAAGTTTCCGTTATTATGTCCATGTTTTGAGCTACCCATTTTTTTATTTTTCGAAAACCAAAATTTAAGAAATTTTGGTTTTTGAAAAACCGAATTTCATCGTTTGTAGTCTTGGCCAAGTTAATTGGCCTCGGCCTATATACTGATTGTTTATCAATATTATGTATGCCCAAATATTTAAATGTGGGGATGAATTATTATTTTTTGTTATCATTTATTCCTCTACACTTCACGTTAAGGAGTCCCGCCATACGCAATCTATTTTTTTTTAAGAGACAATATCTCCATGCCCTCCATATGTACGTTTTATATCTTAATAGATCCAAGATTTCAAAACCTATCTTGGGTCATAAAAATTCTAAGTTTTATATTTTTTAATCTCTTAAGCCAACTTTATACCCTTTAAACCTATTTTTCTACCCCAAACAAATATAGAAAAGACATCATTTCTAAACATTATCTTTTCTCTCTCTTCACGTAATTTTCCCCTATATATCTCTTTACTTATTTTCCCACTTTCTCTCCCCTGTGTCTCACTCTCTCTCTCTCGTTAGAGAGAGAAATAGGGTGAATGTTATAGAGAGAGAAATTTGAGGGAATATATCACGTAAAGAGAGGAAGAGTTTAGAATGAGGATTTTTTTCTATATATTTGTTCGGGCTAAAAAAATAGTTAAAAGTGAGTAAAGTTAGTAAGGGGGTTAGGAGATATATTTTGAATATTTGAGTTTATTAGGATATGAAAACCGAAAATAAGGGGTACCCTTTTTTTTAATGGGCAGGATTTGATACCAAAACTATTTACCAAAACCTCTTGAAGAGGCCTGTATGTTTTTACCATTACATTATTTGAATAATAGTAATAGAAGTAGGAATTGTATTATATGTAAGGGGAGAAAAGTTTTGGTTTTTCAAAAATCGAAAATAGGTAGTTTCGGCATTTTTAAAAAAATTTGTTATAGACATATGAGTAATAACGAAAAGATTTAGGTATTTTCATAATAACAAAAAATGAAACGAATATTTATATAATTTTTCCTACCTTTAAAAGCCTTTAGAGATGTTTATAGCATCAATAAGCATAACGAATTCAATATCAATACTACAATAATAAAAAAAATTAAAATATATGAAAATAAATAAATCAAAAAAAATATATATATAAAAGATATCAAACACAAATAAACAAAAATATAATAATAAATAATGTATACTCTCTCTCTCCATGTGATGGGAGAGGTCTTTCACTCTTTCAACCAATTTCTCTCACGCCTCTCAATTATTATATTTCTACCCTCTTTACTACAAGATATTTATTTAGATTTTAATTGATTGTATCTACCTGTAATTTTGGCGTTACTTGTGGCTCTATCTATCCATGTCTCTTTCCTCCCTCTGACTTTCACTTACTAGATAAACATATAAATTTCTTTTAAAAAAAAGTTCTCTCCCTCCTGCCTTAAATATGAGAAATGAAGATGGAAGCCAATCTATCTTTATAATTTTCTCTCTCCCTCCCTCCCATAATTTTTTCTCCAAGTGTTTTTTCTCCATCAAAATTCTCTCCAAGTCTATCGTCCAAATAAAAGTGGGATGTGCTTCCATTGAGAGATGTTATCATATTTGAATGGAGAATCCTCTTGGATATGGAAACCATCTTAGATACATATGTATAGCTTGATATGTATGTATATCTTTCTCATCTCTCTTTTGAATTGAGTTTGGAGTAGGTATCTATTCTATGAGTTTGAACCAAAATATAGAAAAAAAAATGTCCTATTTCTCAAATTAAGAAATTGAAACACTCTTTCTCCCTCTTCTTAAAATCTCTTCTTTTTCTCTCTCTTCTTAAAATTTATACTTTTTTTCTCTTTACCTAAAATATATACTCTTCACGAATAAAAGGGAAATCTTTCTATGTTCACCCTACAGCATAGAAGTTCTATCATCCCCCTTATCCAACCGTCCATTTTTTAATGGAGGGCTAAGATTGCCCCAATCACAATGTCACGTCTCTACACTGTTTTATTTTTAAATTTTTTTTTTACAAACTGTTTTGACACCAAAATTTGGACGTCCATTCATCTATTAAACTTGCACTAATGAAAAATAAAAAAAATTATTTTTCAATAAAATAAAATGACCAAAATACCTTGAAAGCTTCAAGGGGTAGTTTGGTCATTAGTTTTTTTCGAAAAATTATTGTTAATATTTTCTATAGGTGCACCCCAATGAGAAGATGGTACGTACCAAATTTCATAATCAGAAAAATTGTATCAAAAAAAAAAAAAATTACTTTAAGACGTCGGATCTAAGATCAAACGGTGAGTGGCTCTCTTGATAAAAAATGGACGGCTGGATCATAGGGGAGGAATTTCTATGTTGTAGGGGGAACATAGAAAGCTTTTCTCTCATAAAATATTAAGAAATGGTAGAGATCTTCTTTTCTCTACTTTTCATGCACAAATTTAAAGAATATAAATTTTTTTTTCCTATTACTCAATAAGATACGGAAACAATATCTCTATTATCCTAAAATCTCTACTTGCTCTCTCTTCTTAAAATCTCTACTCTACACACACAAAATTTTAGTCTCTCTCTTCCCTTAAACATGAGAAATATGTCTTACAACCTATATAATATTAAGATCTCTTCTTATTTTCGTGACACGTACCCACCATTTAACTATTGCTTAATAATGTAGTATAGATAATGAAAATTCATAATATAATACTTTTTTTTTTATAAAGCCGAAAAACTATTTATATCGATTTTAATTAGTAGAGATCAATCCTAGGTGACTCATGAATTTGGATCACTGATTTGTCCATCCAAATCCGTTTCTCCAATGATCAACCAGCCCGATAGAACATGGTTTTTAAAGAATCGGTAAAACCATGTGGCTTTACTTTTTGGGAAAAGTTTATATAGAGCCGAGGCTCTAAACAATCACATTCGAGCCTACTTCAAAAATTTTATTAGACGAGATTGTTTTGATGCCTAAAAGTCCTCAAATTGATCATCTCGACATCAAGATGCATTGACGTGAGAAAAAAATTGATTTCAAGTTTTGGAAATAATGTATTTTGTAGTGCATTTTTTTACTGTCAATTTTCAAGACTTTCAAGTTTTTATAGATTTGTCAAATACATCATTTTTAAGCTTTAAACTTTATAAATAAAGATAAAAATATATATTTAGGCTATCACAAAACTTTCTAGTGTTGAAATCACATTTCTCAACATTATTTAAAGGTATGCTCTAATTTGATTGTTTAGAGCCTAGGCTCTATACAAACCGCACCCCTACTTTTTTTAGTGTAAATCTCATGCCTTATTCTAGGTAAATGTGACCCTTGGTGTCGTGCCTCAGAGATTTGAGTAGATAGTTGAGATGACTTGCCTCGTAATGTCACAAGCTAGATTAAAATCTTGATCAATGGTTCATAATTTTTTTATTTTTTATTTTTATTCTGTAAATACTTTTGAATCAAAATTTAGGGCATACATAGATATGTAAGGGGTGCATATGATAAAAATAAAAAAAAAATATTTTTCATAATAAAAAATTACCAAAATACCCTTGAAAATTATAGGGGCATTTGATTATTTATTTGTATAAAAATATTTGTTTCTTATCTTCCCCATGAAGTTCATTTGGTTATTTATTTGTACAAAAATATTTGTTTCTTATCTTCCCCATGAAGTTCACCCTAAGGATGCTCAAAATTTCATTAAAAAATATTTTGTAAAAATAAAAAAATAAATAAAAAGCGGTCACATAGAAACATTTCCCTATTTTAACCTCACATATTAATTACAGGAGAAGTTTTTTACGAGTGAGCTGATGCTTACCCTTGGGTGTGGTAGCACATTAAATAATATTAGTGCACGTGATTTAATATAATTATAAACGAATAAATTTTCATTTTGAAGTAATATTTTTTAGAAGGCATGGCATCATTCAATTATTAAATTATTTTTAATAAAATCATAATGATTAATTTTATTCATGTTAACCATTTTTCACAAATATTATTGGGCAGTGATCCAATGCAACGGTTGTATCATAGTATAACGGAACAACACTTCTAGAAAACTATACTTGTGGTATTTGTATGATCCAAAATTCTGCATACACTCTCTTCATCTCAACAATCAATCTCAAAAAAAAAAAAAAAAAAAAAAAAAAGAAGAAAAATCAAACTGAACCCCTAGATATGATCAAAATGAGTATCATCCAACAACGAATCTAGACCACTCAATTGATGAATTTCAAGATCTTAACCTTTACAAACTCAAAAAATCATTTTTATTTTTATTTTTTAACATTGTTCATCTAATGATGATAAAGCCATCTAAAAATATTAGAAAAGAAAAAACAATCAATCTAAACCTAGATCTAAGTATCTTATCGAAATGGATGGCCCACATTAACATGCTTAAAAAATACTTTATAGATTACATTTTCAAATTTTTCTTTTTTGTGATTGTTCATTAGAATTATAAGAGTGTATATTTTAAATTTTGGATCAAACAAATAGTCATAACATGGGTTTTAAAAGTTGTTGCATTATATTATGATACAACAGTTTCAAAATATCACTGCCTAATACTATTGATTGATATAAAATATAAAAGTAAGGGTGGCAACCGGTTGGGTATGGGTCAGGTCTGGCTGGACCTGAACCCAGACCCCAATAAATTTGGGTCTAGGTTTTGGACCCAACCCGACGGGTCTTGGGTCTACCCCATAAATTTTTCCCAAATAGTGATCACCAACGGTGTTCAAAAACATGAGAAGTCAATGATCCAAAACTTTTTGGTTCATAAGAATAAACTCATTATACGTAAAAAAAAAAGAAAAAAGAAAAAAAGATAGACAGCCAATAGTTTCATCCTTTTCACTTGCATTCAGCAAACATAATGGATAATATGAACACGATAACTACTGATTTGTAAGCTAATGATTTCAGTCCATAATAAACAAGGGGAAAAAAAATTCAAAGCTGCAACTGAAGCAGCAGCCTTCAGCGTTCTGGTCCAGCTTGTATACGTGAAACAGTGGGAAGAGTCTCAATTTTTGGTCCATCCTATCAATACAAGAAGTATACCAAGAATGTCAAGGGCTAGAAGGGACTTCAGGAACTGCTGCTTCCTTGGTGTATAGGGTGGATAACGTGCAGAAAGATCTCCACCAAAGGAGCGGCGTAGCACTGCTTTTTTGTGGCTGAAAATATCAAACGAAAATTTACCATGATACGCCCCAATACCACTATCCCCTACGCCTCCAAATGGTAGGGAGGAAATTGTGAGCTGCAAAACCAACATGAAATAGGTCGTCTTTTAAGAATCAAATTGGAAATTACATACATCTACACATAAATAACCATCGAGAAACGAATATTTACATGCAAGCACGTATCGTTGACAAGAAGCCCCCCTGCAGATATGCTTTTGACAAACTTCTCCTCCAGCTTCTTGTCACTCGTAAAGAGATACGCTGCTAGTGGCTTTGCTCTAGAATTTATAAGCTCAAAACTCTCGTCTATTTTATCTACCTGTTAATAAAATACAAGTGATTTTTTCTTAGCCAAGACTGTATTGAGTAAGGTTCAGGGAGACCTACAAAGTATCCAAGGTTTTTTGGCCACATTTATTCAATTACTGTACAATGCAGTACCAGGCTGGTCAATTGGATAAAACAACCATGCACAAATATTCAATTGGTATTCTCCATGTTCCTTATAATAGGGAGAAACACCATCATGATATTCACTCTCTTCATCTCTGCCTCAGAGTTCAATCAATAAGTGATGTGCACATATATTTAAGTAAAAAAAGGACGTAAAAAATTCACTTTTTCTGATAGAGACACTTACTGAGATTATGGGAAGTAATGGGCCAAATATCTCATCACTCATAACCAGGGAATCCATCGGAGCGTCTTGTATGAGTGTAGGTGCAATCATGCTGTAAACGAGTATCCATATTAGCAAGAAACAGGTTCATAAACTTCACTACAGAAGTATGATTTATTTTCCAGTAACAGTGGAAAATGAAAACTTACAGGTGTTTCTCATCACGTTGACCACCATGAACAATCTTATCACACACCTTTTCATCATCTAACATATTTGACAGGCGGGCAAAATGATTGGAATTCACAATGCGAGACAAATCCTTTGATTCAAAGGGATCCTTCCCATAGAATTTCTCCAATGTAGATTTAAAAGACTCAACCTGCCCAAAAAATGGAATAAACACCAATAACACATTATAACCAAATTTTCCCAACTTTGATAGGGCCCACCATAGACAGTTCAAACTTGTACCACTTTTGGAGCATTGGATTTTTCAGTAATTATATAGTCTGGTGCAATACATGCTTGCCCGTTATTGCTTCCCCATTTCCCCACAACAATCCGTCTTGTTGCCACCTACATAAATCCGAAGAAGATTTCTAGTCATATTAGGAGTAATGAAATAAACAGAATTCAGAGGTAAATATTTCATGGAAGTTCTACAAGAACTATTACTTCTAAATTGATGTCCGAATCAATTATAACAGGACATTTCCCACCCAGCTCGAGGATTACAGGTGTAAGGTGCTTTGCAGCTGCACTCATCACAATTCTCCCCACCTTTCCATTTCCTATAGAGCAAACAAGTTCAATCATCAGGTTCCAATGCATATTCATATTCTTAGTTTTCAATCCTAAATTATGCATATTCTTGTAAAACAATTCCTACAGCATAATAATTGATAAAACTCAAATGATATGGTGAAGAACAAATTTTCAAAGTCCATCTCACTGAATTCTCTCGCAGTTAATCCACTTACAAATATAATCAAGCAACAGAGCCTTACCATCATAAGGGCAGAGCTCAAAAACTGAAACAGGAGATTTGAATTTTGAGCTTGGAGTATCTATCAGCCCACATTATATATTACTTTCTATCAAGTTTATTATGGAGTGATCTAAAACTTGTGATCTGGCCATGAGAAGGAATAGTCTAGTACAACGTAACTATGAAATAGAATATCTATGCCCAGAACAGCTTTCAGTAAATATGAAATAGAAATATAGGAAGGTAGCATGAAAGAGATCAAGTCATAACAGTTCATGGTTGAATACACTGAATTAAGTAATCTTTCCAAAATCCATCTATTCAAGTAATATCATCTACAATTAAACTTTCTCAATCTATAGTTCTGTCGATGTTTCTCTGAAAAATTTAACCTTATTCTAGACTCGAAAAAGTATTTCATGTCTACTGCAAGAAAATGCAAAAAGAATGGAAATAGAAACAAGAAAAACACACAAACGATTTACCTGTATACATTATTTTATCCCATTTCTGTTCCAACAAAGCAGTTGTTTCAGCAACAGCCCCTTCAACAACTCTGATAGCAGAATTGTCAAGATATTCATGTATAAGAGTTGCAAGCAAGGAGGATGTAGCTGGTGATATTTCCGATGGTTTCAACACAACAGCATTCCCAGCAACAATAGCTCCAATCAAGGGGTTGAGTGACAGCACTGGAAAAATTGCAAGTATCATGTGAGCACTACCTCTAATGAACTAGCTTATGTGTGGCAAAATGCACTAAATCCACTCCATAGCTATTATTCATCAGCAGAGCAAAGGAAGACTGATATCATCTAGTCTGTCTCTATGGCAGGAAACTGGAAATATAAAGAATTTCATAGTCCACTGGTTAGGAAGAAGGAATATCACATTAATTTCACAAGTTTCATCTTGAACAATTAGATTTTCCTACTTATGTAACAATATCCAAGAACATTCTAAGCCACATGTTTCTATACTCCAAAAAAACAAATGAATTAAGAAAAATGGGACAGATAGCATAAGTTATCATGAGGCATATATGGAGGATCCTTAGCATCATCAAAGCCCTTTCCCAACTAATTGGGGTTGGCTAATTCATGGAAAATTTTTGGAAAAATTTTATATCGGTTGCCTACCTAACATAACTCACCTCCTTTACCCCGGCTTGGGAGGATAAAAGTAGCAATAATAAAAGAAAAAACTTCTTGATCATGTATATATCACACAATATTCAAGTTTCCACAACAGTATATTAATTGTATCTTCCACATTATTCATCTTTACATGGTTGCCATTATTTGTGTAACTGAAAGGGTATTTATGCCTATAATGCAAGTTACTATGTAAATCACCTAAGGCTATATTACAATTAATGAGAATCAATAGTTCTCATTCCTCGCAATTGACATGGTATAATCCTAAACCTCACTAAACCAAGGAATTTTCAAATCCAGACACCCTTAACTCTAATTTTTAAATCCACAATCAGACTCCAAAATTTACTTCACTGATATCCAAAACCATATTCTAACAATAAGACATGCAACATTTTACTGACAAAAATGTTTATAAAATAACAAAATTTGGTACTTTGGAACCATGGGAACTCGTAAAAAGAATCATTGAATCAATTTGAAGTATCTTTGGAAACTAAAATTTTTATTTAATTTTCAAATCCAGACACCCTTAACTCTAACTTTTAAATCCACAATCAGACTCCAAAATTTACTTTACTGATATCCAAAACCCTATTCTAACAATAAGACATGCAACATTTTATGACAAAAAATTTTATAAAATAATAAAAATTGGTACTTTGGAACCATAGGAACTCGTAAGAAGAAACATTAAATCAATTTGAAGTATCTTTGAAAACTATTTTTTTTTTTTAATAATACAATTCTTTTTTAAATACAAAAAATAAGGTCCTAAAGGTGCAATTTGAAAAAATTTATCATGGATGAATTCTTTATGTATTGCGCACATTTAAGAAAGGGAAAAGAATTTTGAGAAGGAGAAATACCAATGGGTTCAATTTTGTTTTTCAAATTGAAAAAGGCTGAACGTTTTAAAGCAAGAGATGGACATACGTCCAATGTGATTTTGTTTGAAAAAAATGAGAGGGAAGATTCTCTTTCACTCCATCCCAAAGGCTTCATCTGTGGGATCTTCCACATTAAAAAGAAAAAAGTGCAGGGACAAATGTAACTCCAAAGATTGGAATATATGAAAGACCTAAGGTTTCTATGAGAGAGAAAAGATCTAAAAGTTTTTTTTAGAGTTGTTTCCTCAAAGGGGGGATAAGGTTTGGGTTTGATGGAAAGAATTAGTAGAAGGATGTCTCTAATTTGTCAAGTTACAAATTTTCTTCCGAAGATGGACAGATCGCAGAGTGCCTAAAGTTGAACAAAGAAATCAGCATGGTCAACATGAGTGAGAAAGTAGTGATTACCTATTATCAGCCAGTCTACTATAATTTTAAGGTATCAATGCAGTCGTGATGTAATTGGAATTCCTATTAATTTATTTTAAGCCTGAGAAAAAAGTACTCACAGATAGGATAATTCCATGCCGAAATGACTAGAACAACTCCTAGTGGTTCTGATACAATTTCTGCTGATGAAGGGAAAGTAGCCAATGACGAAGAGACCTGAATGAATATAAATAAATCAAGAGAATATTAAAAAATATAGAAAAGAATAATTATTTTATACGGATGACAGAGAGAAGACATTTTATTTTGTATAACAGTTTTTATTTTAAGAATAACTGTGTGAAGTAATTTTTCAGTATACCTTTTCTGGCTTCATCCAACTTTTCAACTCCTTAAGCACCAATTTGGCCTCAGATCTTGTCAAAGAAATCTGAAGATAAACCATATAGTATCACAAATACAGAAGACATGAACAAACATATAAGTTTGCTTATCTGAAATTTTATGAGACAAAATCATGTTTTTCAAAGATTAACTATTAGTTACTATTAATGAATATATTAGTTTTCACGTTGATATTGGAAAGATCATGAAACCCTTTTCGTTAAACTTTCCCAAAACATATTTGGTGTTAGTCTCATACAGCTGTACATAAATCTTTATAACAAAGAAAGCATTTCGATTGTCATCGAAGTGATTGTCATCGAAGTGAAAAGAAAGATCACGTTGTAGCCAACAAAGATGGTGAAAGGAAATACTGCCAAAAGGTTACAGTCTCCACTTTCTGGAACTATAAGAAAAGAAAGCAGATAAAGTATGCAAAAACGTAGAGGAAACCAATAATGTCAAGACCCTTTTTTTGCAAAGGAAAAATAATGCTATAATTTTCTCAAGATAAAATCAAAAGAACTACATTTGATGCCTAAATTGAGTCAGTACACCTTGGTAATGTCGTCCTCTTGCAAATACTGCCCATGAAGCGCACTCCATATCTATTTAGTGGCTGAAGAAGATAGCCAGCCTATCACTTATATGTGTTCTATGATTCTATCACATTCAATATAACCAACTAATAATTGGGCAACTATCACGTATTTTTAGGGCCTGAATTCTTCAAGGTGGTGATTCCTCCAATAGCATAACATAATCAATACTTTCCTCTTGAAAATATAGTTGATTGTGGTGACTATGAAAAGAAGTAGACTGCATTCAATTTCATATAGGTGATAAATAAAATAGATTTTTCAAATGAGGTGAACAGCAACCAACAGCTACATGTTTTCCTGAAGGTGAAAACATGCACGAGATGTTCATGCCTATATATCTTTATTCAAGAAGGTGAAAATGAGACAAGATATGCATGGATTATTGATTTGTTTATATGGAGAAATTGAAGAGAAACTTCTCACAACCTGCTAGAACTCTCACAGAATAAACTAAAATTCAGCGAGACATAAACAGATAGGGTAAAAACCTTAAGAAAGAGACCCCAGCATTGCGCCACAGAAGGAAAAAATATGCTTTCTATATAAGCCTCTAAACAAAATGAGCCGATAATGAAAACTCATGTCCATGTATCTCTCTTTCATGGATCACATGAAGTCCCTTTTTTCAACTGATTAGTCGAAACCTATCTTCTTCTTGAAAATTATTCAACTCACAACAAAAGAAGTAGCTCCATCAGACTTCTTTCTCTCGACCTTGATCCAGCTCTTCCTTTCTAGGAAATATCATAGGTCTTTTCTTTCAAGTTCGAGGCGTTCTCTCTTTAGCTGTCCATTTGGAACCTCCAAAGGAACATATCAAATACTAGAAAAACTCTCTCAAAGGTCAACTTCTGACTTTATTACTCCCAAAAAAAATTTTTTCCAGAAAATAACAGTAGTACATGAAACTTCATCATTTTTGACACCATCAACATATACTCATTTGTTTAATATCTTTAAAAGTTCAAAACAGTCACTGCTTCTTTGGTTGTGAATCAGAACACCATCCTAATAGCAAGGCAAAAGGTAAGGAAGAAATACCATGAAGGACATTTCCGAAAAAGGGAAAGAGGCATTTACACCCTATTCCAATCTGCTGAGATTGCAAGGGAGATTTCCTTGTTGGGAGGAAATTTTAGTTTAATCTCGCTTAATTGGGGCCTCTCATCTTCACCCCCTAACCACTTGTACCGCTCTATGTTGTTCCCTTTAACACGTTCGCATAATTCTTTTCCTTTTGTTATTTGTACAAGATAACATCAGTGGCAAAAATCAACTGATAATATAAGCAAAATGGCTCTCCCCGCCCACAGAAAAAGATATAGTGAGAAGGTCATATGATACTATTATATTTTCCCTTCAAAATTCAGAGTCTCGAGATTAAAAAGTCTTAAGGGGACATAAAATTAAAAACTCACTAGTCTTGGGTCAGGCTTATTGATTGTATATGTAGATGGAATGGAGAAAATGAACCATTCCCTTTTCTTTTCTAGAGAAACCTGTTTAATCAAATGCTTACAGTAAGGTAATCCAATCTTTCTATACTACTCTATGGTCCACTTCAGAGAATATCGAGTAAAATGTGCAAGGGGGCATATAAAAATAAATAGTCACTGGTGTGGGGTTAGTCTCATTGATTGTATAAGTAGATGGCATGGAGTAAATGAACAACCACTTTTTTCTTTTCCAAACAAACCTGTTTGATCAGGTGTTTACAGTACAAGTAATCCAATAAGAGACAACTCTTGTTCTGAGCAGCTTTTTAATAAACAGTTTGATGAATTGACAAATTTATTCACAAGGCCCAACCATAATTTACCTTAACAACATCGATCCAAAGGTTCAGAATTCAAATCATATAAAAGGACTTCAATTCTCAAACAAATAATCAATCTCTAGGCCAAAAGGTTTGAAATAAAACAAAACCCTTAAAACTGAAAAATCTTTCTTCCACTTCTGCTATCTACCCATAAACATTAAATGCATACAGGGGGCCACCACCCCAAACAAATAACAATCCAGAACAAAAAGAAATACTGAGATTTCAATGAAACTAAGATGATAGACAGACAAATAGAGACATGGGTATTCAATTAGAGAGAGAGAGAGAGAGAGAGAGAGAGAGAGAGAGAGAGAGAGAGAGAGAGAGAGAGAGAGAGAGAGAGAGTAGAGTAGTAGTAGTAGTAGTAGTACGTAGTACGTACGTAGACGTAGTACGTACGTACGTACGTACGTACTCTACGTTCTACTACTACTACTACT